TGGTCCGCGGAGTTTGTCTAACCTCACGGTGGTCCGCGGAGTTTGTCTAACCTCCTGGTGGTACGCAGTTTCTGTTCTGTCCGCGTGGGCTGCGGAGCTCCTGTGTGTTCCGCCTACGCAGCAGCCTGCTGAGTCGCAGTTTCTGCTCCGCCAAGCATGTTTCATCATGTTTCAAACGTGGAGGTTCACATTATTACCAGCAGCACATCGGTCTGCAAAGCAGATTTCATAATGAATGTGGTTGATTGCAAAGCTTCGCTTCCGCGCCGGCCTGCAGAGGTCATCCCTAATGCGGTTGTTTGCAGAGTGGCTTTTCATGGCGCATTTGGTCAGCACAGCTTTAACGAAAGGCGGTGATCTGTGCCCCAGATGGCTGTTTTCTGTGCAAGTTTTGAGCAATGGCGGCTTGCCGCTCGGGTCTTATGCGTTTATTTTCTTCTTTAAGAGCTTTCTTTTCGTCATGGGTCCTGTGCAGGCAAATGTGTGTGAAGTCTCAGGGCACTGGCTATGTCAATGTCAAAACTTAACCATTGCCAATGTGAATCGATATTGCTGCAGGATCCCGAATTCCCAGAAAGCCCCAGCTGGGTCTACATGATCCTCATTGCTGTAACGCTTGCTGTGGCTGCTATTCCAGAAGGAATTCCTCTTTGCGTCACGATCTCCTTGGCAATAGGCTGCCAAGAAATGGTGGAGAAAAATGTGCAGGCTGGAGTGGTGGGAGCAACAGTCAGCGCTCTTTTCCTTTCAGTCTTGGCGTAGTTGCACCTTTGCCCATAATTTGTCATCTGCCCCGCCAGAAGGTGCGCAAGATCGCAGCAGTTGAAACGCTGGGCTCAGCTTCGGTAATTTGCAGCGACAAGACCGGCACGCTGACTGAAGGCCGCGAAGCATCATGTTTCGAGTAGTTGTTCATGGTCGAACATCTTAGTTTCCTGCCCTGTGCAGGCAAGATGACCATGACCAAGATGTGGTCGTGCGGTGTAGACTATAACATTACCGGCCAGGGCTTTGATCCGACCAATGGTCAAGTGCAACGTGTCGGCATGCTCCTGCCACATGGGGTGAACTCTAACCGTGACCTGGGAGTTCGCAGCACTTTGCTCTCCGCTTTGCTGTGTAGCGACACGGTGCTGTTTTTGGCAGAGGACCCAGACACAGGTGAGACCACGTGGCAGTACCGCGGGAACTCTTCTGAGGCTCCCATCGTTGTGGCCGCCCGCAAGATCGGGCTGCCGGAAGACATTGCCGGTAGCTACCGCCGCATTGTGAACATCCCCTTCTCATCGGCAAGGAAGATGATGCTCACGGTCTCAGATGTCACGGGCCGGACCAGCATCTGTGAGGGAGGAATGCCCTTGCCTCGCGGCACCACCTGTTTCACTGTTTGCAAAGGAGCTCCAAACTGGGTCATTCAAAGCTGCACGAGCATTCTCCGAGAGGATGGGGCGGTGCTTCCTTTGAGTGAGGAGGAGAAGGCGCGCATCAACGCAGGAGTGGTGGATGCCTACTCAGACCAGGCGCTTCGCGTTCTGGCTGTTGCTGTGGGCTTCAGAGCAGAGCCCCCAGCCCAGCTGGAGAGCGACGACGTGCCCTTGGACGAGAAGTTCAAGATGCTGCGGTGCCTCCTCCGCACGCAGAGTGAGGGCGCAGAAACCTGATCTTTAGCTAATCTGCATTTGGCATAGCATGTTTTCTGGATACATGAGTCCCGAAATAAACAAGAAGATCATGTCCTCTTTTTGCTTATGATGCTTTCAAGGAGACTCTAATCACCTTTACCAAGCAGAAGACCATTCACTTTGAAATTACAGGCCTCTTAGGCCTAAGTTAAGAGCACGTTCCCGCCCCCTGCTATGAGCTTGTGGCAGGCTTTCGGCCTGGGCGCAGCCGTGTACTTGGTGCCTAAGGTTTATTGTTTAGGTTTAGGGTATCCCATTTGGCATGGGAGTTTCTCAAACAGATCCTATACAATCCCAAGGGGGCCCCGCAATCTCCGTATCATCCCCACGCCTCGTGTAACCAAGGTATCCAATCAAAATGGTTTCGCACCTAGTTTTTTGGTATCTCTACCCGTTTCAGAGCCTGGCTTACTGCGATATAATCCCTTAAGCCCTGAACCCTAAACCCACCAGGACTCCTGATTCTACTGAAGCTCGTTTTGCAAGAAACCCCTAAAACCTTAACCCGTCAAGCGAGGTCCAACTTGACGCTGGTAGGCATGGTGGCTTCACTGGACCCAGATCGTGAAGGCGTTGGTTTAGGGTTTAGTAAAACCCTAAACCCTGAACCTTATAGGGTTTAGGGTTTGGACTAGGAATCTGAGATCTTCATGAAGCTTGGGGTTCCGTTTTGAGTGTTTACCCGTAACCCCAGTTGTCTGCAGTTGAAGAGTAAGTGTCCTTCAATTAATAGACATAATCCATAAGATTGCAGGGAGGAAGATCATATCCTAAGCCCTCAACAAAAAAACCCTAGACCCTCTACAACCACTCTAAAGGTAGGCCCTGAACGCTAAACCCATAACTTAAAACCCCAAACCCTCTATAGTCTCTAACCACTTTAAAGGTAGGCCCTAAACCCTAAACCCGTAGCCCCAACTCTCAAAAGACTCTGAGCCCTTTATAGCCCCTTTAATTCAAAATCCTTTAAAGGTAGGCCCTAAACCCTAAACCCGTAGCCCCCAAACTCAAAGACTCTGAACCCTTCATAGCCCCTTTAATTCAAAATCCTTTTACCCTACACCCTAAGCCCTAAACCGCTATCCTGAAGGCGTCCGGGAGTCGGTCCTCGCTGCGCGGGAGGCTGGCATCCGCGTGGCCGCAAGCTCAGGGTTTAGGGCTCAGGGGTTTGGGGATTAGGGTTTAGGGATTAGGGTTTAGGGATTACGGATTACGGATTAGGGTTTAGGGTTTAGGGCTTAGGGTTTGGGGATTAGGGTTTAGGGATTAGGGTTTACGGATTAGGGTTTAGGGTTTAGGGTAGTTTGGTGGGGCTGGTGGCATAGCTTACTGGTGCTTGAGGGGGAGTGGCAGAACGAATATAGGGTTTCTCAGAGAGTTATATAATGTTATATATGGGGATTATGTAGGGATTATGAAAAGGATCCACTCCCCCACTCTCCCTCAAGCATCAGTAAGATGGGGACGGATCAGTACCAGGGTTAAGGGTTTAGGTTTTGTAATATTAAGGGTTTGCGAGTTTCTGACATCATTAGTTGTATTGTTTGGACCTCCAAGAGGGCAGGTGGAATGTCGATTAACCACCCAAAACCTAAGCCCTCGTTCAATTGGCTGTAAGAACTTGCGTAGGAAGCAGGATTCAGGATTTGGGGTTTGGGGAGTGGGATCTCGGGTATAGGATGGAAGGAGATACGGCAAAGGGTTCTTTGGCACACTGAAGTTGTTGGCCCGGGTCCAACTGGCTCGTCTTGTGGCTCTGGTACACCCCAGCTTTAGGATCAATCACTTGTTGGTTGGTAGTAGAAAACGAATTGATGGAGAACAACATTGACACGTCATCCATCCATCAATCCGTCCGTCCGTCCGTCCGTCCCTCCATCCGGTCCGTCCTTCCGTCCGTCCTTCCGTCCACCATCCATCCATCCATCTGTCCGTCCGTCCATCCATCCAATTATTTGGGGTGATGTATGGGCGACCATGGGGATCCATTCCTCCATTCCCCACGAACAACTACAAGGAATAGTGCACCATGAGGTTATTGGTTTCTGTACACAGCACAGCTTCTCAAAATCATTGTTTCTGTTTCAGGGGCCTCTTACCGCTGAGAGATGGACCGCTACATCTTGAGATTGAAAAGAACAATAAACACTCAGAATGCGTGTGAATGTAAAATTCCCTCCCCGGCTTCTACTCTGAAGGGCTTAGGGTTCAGGGGTTTAAGGGGAAAGTGTGTTGTCCATACATACTTACGGACCCGCTTAAGCCGTGCCTGCAGCTTTGGCCCAAGCTGGAGAGTTATTAGGTGTTCTTGTTTAGTGTTTGAACATTACCTCGAGCAACCGGTCAGGGCTACCAACAGATTGGTCCCAACTAGTTTCTTTAGGGGCACAGTGGTTACTTGAAGAAAAGGTTCCGTTTTACGGAATTCATTGAAGACACTTTGCTTGGTATGATCATGCTGGGGCAGAACAAGGACATGGAAGCATCAGGGGCGCATTTGCTGAAGAATAGGTGTTAACAGCGGTTGCAGTGCTGTAAGAACCTGCGAGGTTTGATTATCTCAACATCGCAGCTGACCTTCGTAGTATGAGAACCTCTTCAAACCGTAAGGGTTTCTAGGCAGGGAGCCCGTAAGCAGCAGATTGCACAGCTTGCAAACGTGTCCACAAGAGACCTGCAAGAACGCGACACACGCGAAACAGAGGCTACAGGAGTCGTGCTGGAAGCTGCAAATGTCCTTCTTTTATCTCCAACTTGGGGTTCTGCTTGTGTCCTCGGCAAGAGCTGTTGACCTGTGTGGCTACATCAAGGATGAACTGGGTGCTGCGGACTGTGACGACATTCTAGAACACAGTGCAAAGGGCTTCCGCCTGACAGGGACCAATGCCGACCCCTTGCGGTATGCTGGTTTAGGCTTTGATGACAACATCGCAGGAGGAGCAACGCCCGGAGCAATGAATGTCTGCATGTTGGCAGCCTTTGGGAACGGCGGGGTCGTCCCGGCAAATTGTGTGCCGACAGTCGGAACCGATGCAAAGGAGTGGAACGGACGACCGGAGATCCATTACTTCGGCATGCTGGGCTTCAATTGTGGGTTCAACCATCATGCATTCTACGCTGGGGATACAATTTCCTGGAATTTCCCAACCGGGAATACTTGTATTGATGATCCTGATCTGGATGTGGGGTTGACGTCGCTTGTTTGCATGTTCGACATGGAGTGTGAGCTTGGAACCACAACAACGACCACGCGTACTACCACAACCATGAATGAGACTAGCTCATCCACGATGACCATCTCCACAACTTTGGGCCCTACGAGAACCACAACTGTCCAGACAGCATCTGCATCCACAAACAGTTCAACAACATCAACTCTGACAACCAGCACACTCGCCTGGACCGGAACAAGCGTTACGGCAACATATCGTCTAGCTTCCTCCAGCACCAGTACCATGACTGCTGTCAGCACAGCCGCCAGCACCACTGCCATCACCACCACTCTCACTCCAACAACCTTGAGCAGTACTACGACCACTGGCTCCTCCACAACGTTGGCCGTTACTGGAGCAGTGACCGTCACCATCACTCCTGCTGTGACCACCTGGACTTCGACCATGGTTCCGACCACAACAGTTTTCACAACCACAACATCCATCAGCACCACCACCGCAACCACACTGACCTTGACGATGCCGACAACGACAGAAGCAGCGTTGAACAGCACAGTCAGCACATCCACAACCAGCACCTCTCGACAGTTAACTGCAACCCCAACCAGCTCTGAACAACTGCCCACAACCTCGACAGAAGCCGCAAACAATGAGACAAAAGAGCTGCCTGGGCTGCCTGGGCTGCCTTGCTTGGAGGTGCCGCTCGTGGCGAACAGCGCAGATTTGTCGTACTGCCAGGGTCTGCCACACGCATCAGAATGCAATGTCCAGTGTGCTGAGGGATACACGCGAGACGAAGGTGCACACCTTGCCGTGTGTCAGGATGGGCTTTGGCATGTTCGGGGCGAATGTCTCAGGGCTGGTGCTGATGTTGTCCAGCGGGTGGCCGCTCAGGTGCTGCTACAGATTTCCCTGGACCTGCCAGAAGAGAGTAGCCGTGACAGCCTTACATGGGCACAGGCGAACCTAGGTTCCTGTTAGGGATCCTTTATACCATTGCTGGTATTATTGCCTCTGCCTTCACCCTTAAAAAAGGTAAAGATACCATCATGCTAGGCACAAAGCCCTGCATTGGTTACCTAAGCAATACCCTTACATACTTTCATTATAAACCCCTACGTGAACCCAGATCCCATTTCATTTCCTTTTTCTTTCTATTTGATTTTGCCCCTAAACCCTAACCCCAAATAGCAGCTTCCTTGTTCTTTTACCATCATCCTTTCATGTACTTACTTTTATTCCCAGACCCTAAATCCTAAACCTCAACCACCAAACCCTGCACCCTACATTCCCACCCGGCCTGCTTAGGCCGTTCCCACCCATTACTAGGGTGGTCAGACACTGAAGAAACACGTCGGCCTTTACAGCCGTACTGGGTAAGACAATGGGAGG